AGGAAAACCCTGGTGTGCCCCAGCTCCAACCCTGGTGTCCCCCAGCTCTTCAGAGAGCAAAACCCTGCCCACAGTGGAAACAAAGCAAAGTCCCCCATGGACAATTCCCACCTGTGATCCCTTCAGTGCTTCGACGATAATTGACCATCGGCCATTCCAAGTCAGCAGGAGAGCAAAGGGGAATCCTGGAAGCCAGGATGAGAGCGGAGTTCACTCTGCAGAGGGACCACTCCTGGGCCACTCAGTTGGACTGCCTCTCCTGAACCCTCCTCCTCTGAGCAGCCCCAGGAACTCCAGCCCCACCTCACTTCTTCCTGCGGATTTTGGGCTTTTTCACCGGCCGGAGGTAGGGATTGTCTATCACATTCTCCTCCCCATTCCTGCTGCCTGCCAGGGAGGTGTTCTGCTGTAACACTGAGGTGTTTTCCTTCTCAGGGCCTGAATCATCCTGTACGAAAGAAAAAAAAAAACACAAACCCAAATCACCAGAGTTACACAAAACAAGGCTTAGAAATCTTTCTACCCAGAGAAGCTGTGGCTGCCCCATCCCTGGAAGTGTCCAAGGCCAGGCTGGACGGGGCTTGGAGCAACCTGGGCTAGTGGAAGGTGTCCCTGCCCATGGCAGGGGGGTGGAACTAGGTGATATTTGAGGTCCCTTTCACCCCAAACCATTCCACAATTTTAAGTTCAAACCACATAACCTGTGGGCAGAAGAGAGAATCAACAGCAGCACACAAGGAGCTGCACTAAGCGTGAGGTTTCCTGACCTCTAGCACAAGAAGATCCCTTGGGGAAGAACCAGGTTTCAGAAGTTCAGGGCAAAGGGCCCCAAGGGCTGCCTCAGGGGGGTTGTACCGTGCTCATGTGCAGCGGGAGGTTCTCGGTGTCCGTCTGGTCGTCCTGCTCCGACGAATCCGTCTCTTCCATCTGCTGCATCTCCAGCTCAGAGGGAAGAAGAGCTGTCAGGTAGGGGACAGTGAAAGGCCTGGCAGCAATCACTGGAGTCAGGGCAAAGGACACAGTCAGCGAGCTGGGAGAAAACACTCCCCCCTCAAAAATTAGGAAGCACAAGGAGAACAAACACTTCCAGTGGTTCTGGCTTTAAACACACACCACCTCTTCCTGCTGCTCCCAGGGATCAGGAATGATATATGCTGTCCCTACAAGATAGCAGTCTCTAATTTCCTATTTTCTAAGGCCCCTTTATGTTTCCAACATTATTCCAAGACAAAAAAATCCTTCCTGACCTCTACAAAAGTTCCATTCTCTCACAGGCTGGAGCGTCACTTGGTTCCCCTTTAAGTTAACACTGACACCTGTGCTGTCAGTGAGCCCTGGGGAGGTGGGAATTCTCATCACTGCTTTGCAGTCAGAGAAACAGGAAAGCCTCCACTACCACTAGAATGTCAGAGAGAAGAAATTACTTGTTCAAAGGTTACAGTGGATGAGCTTTGAATTTAGCCCCTCTCAGCCTTCTCCACGAGCAGAAGACAGTGAGCCATAGTGAGGGTAGAAGCCTTCTTTTGGTTTTCATCCCCCTTCTAAATACAAAATTCCTCATTTCCCTCAGGGAATAACACAACGTGATTACTCACAGCTCACCCCCTGCAGCAGCAAGAACCCCAACGGGGGGAGGTTTGCTCAGGGACACACATTTAGGGCACAGAGAGCCCCGGAAAACTCACGTGGGAATGTGCTGACATCATCCTTGAAGAGGCTCTGGGTCTCCCCTGTCTTGGCCATGAACCGTGTGAGAGCCCTCTCCACGTCCCGCCGCTGGGAAGCCGCCTTTTCCCTCAGGACCTGGTAGTCGGACACGGGCTCCCGGTACGTCTGTGGGGCGGGAGGGAACAACTCCCGGTCAGAGCACGGCACGGAGGGAGGAGCTGCAGGCACGCTCTGACCTTCACCACTGACAGGCTCCTGGAGAGCTCCAGGCGTCCATCAGCCAGAAATCCAGGGATCCTGGCTGATTCCCAGACAGCAAGGGATGTCCCCAAGCCAAGGGACATACAAAGCAATACTCTGGATGGACAGTACCAGCACTGCAGTAAAAACAAACACACCACTGCTGCTGTTCTGGACCCCAAACAGCCCCCAAACAGCATGAAAATCCTGGTTTCACTCACCGGGGTCTTGATGTAAGTGTGGGGATCTGGGAACTCTGGGAAATGGCCAGGGATGTGGGATGGGTGAGGCTTGTTCTGTCCAGCTGTCAGGGCTTTGGGGGTCACGGGCTGGTTTGTCACAGGAGCTACAGGAGTTAAAAAGCACAGAAATCAGTGGGGGGATTCCTCCTGCCCAGGGCCAGGCACAAAGTGCTGCAGCTGAGCTGGGACCCACATCCCCAGGCCCTGCCCAAGCACAGCCCAGGAGGCTGTGTTTGGTATTCCAGAGGGGAACTGGGATCACTTGGCCCCTCCCTCCCACCCAGGGAGAACAAAACCATCCCCAGGACTCTGGTGTGCAGTGAGGGCACTGGTGTGAAGTGACTCTCCCTTCATCTCTCAGTGTCACTTCCAAACTGCACTTCCAGGAGCTCTGGAATGCATCATCCCTCAGAGAGCAGGGGCCCTCTGGAAGCCAGCAGAGAGGAATGGCAGATTATTCCCGGCTTCCTGAGTGGCAGAAAGGATTCCCCACGTACGGGCAGTGATGACCATCCTCTGGGAGCGCTTGGCATACGCAGGAAGGGTTTCCACATTGAACCCTGGAACAGAGAGGGGAAACAGGAGTCACACCAGGAGTTCGTCCTGGTCAAAAAATCCCTTCTTTTAGGCTTCTCCAGAATTTTTCCAAGGGCTCCAAATGACACCCAAAGCTGGCATAAGCAGGAACAGCCAACCACTCACCCATTTCCACCAGAGTAACCACGATATCCGAGAGCGTGGGCTGGGTCCTGGCTGTGTGCTCGCAGTAGGACTTGGCACTCCTTCCAATTTCCGAGATATCTGAGGAGACAAAACCCCCACAATTTTAATTCCTACAGCGCCCACACTTGTATCAGCCCAAGCCCAGCTGCAGGGATGGGAATTTTTAACAAATGTGGCAAGGAATGAGAAACAGCTCCCGGAATGGAGAGTCCTGCAGCCTGGGTATTTAAAATTCGAGCATGGAGACACTAAAGGTTAAAGAGTCACTTTAGCAGCTGGGGCAAACCCAAAGTGCCACAGAGGTGACTCCAGGGCCGCACTCCAGCCACCAGAGAACAAAAACGGGGTGGGGGGGGAAAACCAGCAACCAGTGAAGGAGCAAGGAGAGAACGAATGGGGCACTCACAGCTCTGGATCATCTCGGTGAGCGTCTCCACCGCGGCCTTCTCGGCGCTCTCGAAGCCCGCCTCGGTCAGCAGGGAGCTCACCACGACCTGCAGCGTCCGCCGCCGCGCCAGGTGGTAATTGTCGGCAGGGGTGCCCGCCTGCTTGCTGCCAGGGCGCTGCACAGCGGGGACAGCCTCAGGGCACGGCAGGGACAGGGAATGGGAAGGGGAGCAGGTATTGGGACTGACCCAGAAGTAGGTGATGGAAAGGATTTGGGAACAGTAATGGGAAGGGTCAAGGAACAGGTGCTGGGAAGGGTCTGGGAGCAGGTACTGCCCTGGCAGCCCCAGGGAATGGGGACACGGGTGGGCTGAGGGGATCAAAGGGCAGGAACACACACACATGTACACACACATGCACACACACGTACACACATGTACACACTCATGTACACACACATGTACACACACATGTACACACTCATGTACACCCACATGTACACACACATGTACACACATGTGTAGACACATACACACACATGTACACCCACATGTACACACATGCACACACATGTAAATCCCCCCCGGCCACATTTGGGCCGCGGCCCCTTTAAGAACCCGCCGCAGGCGCCAATCAAACCCCGCCCCCCTCCGGGCCCTCCAGCCAATCAGCGCCTCCCTCCCTCGGGCCGCCGCCCCCGCTCCCCCCGGCCGGGCCCGGGCCTGCCCCGCGCCCCGGGGGCACCGGGCACCGCCGCCCCGCCCGGCCCCGCCGCCGGCCCCGCCACCGCGGCCCCGCGCCCCGGGACCGGCCGCCCTCACCGTGCCGGAGCCGCTGGACGCCGCGTCGGCCATCTTGGAGCCATGTGGAGCTGTGCGCGTGCGCCAGGAGCGGCGCGGGGCCGGGCGGGCGCGCGGGGCACTGTGGGAGTTGTAGTTCGGGAGAGGAGGGAGCACGTGGGGCGACAGCTGGATCCACCCGCACAGCTGGATCCCACACACACAGCTGGATCCACGCACACACAGCTGGATCACACACAGCTGGATCCACGCACACACAGCTGGATCCCTGCATCCAATCCAACCCCCCTGCCAAGGCAGTGTCACCTGCAGCAGGTGACACAGAGGTGTGTCCAGGTGGGGTTTAGAATGAAGGTAATTGGGTGTTATAATGTCCAAGTGGGATTTATAACAAAGACAGTTCAGCTCCAGGGCACAGGAACCTCGAGTATTTTGCCAAGCCAGTAATGTCTGCACAGACACTCATCGACATCCCGATTTCCTGCATCCCTGTTAATTCTGGGATGTCCAGGTGCCAGGGATGGAACTGCTGCCCATGCCCCTGAGCAGCTCTCCCTTCCTGCTGGTTGGGCTTGAAAGCACACAAGTTCTTCCATCAAAGAACCTCCTGACCTGAGCCAGTCCTGTCATACTCCACATGGTGCAGCAAGCCCAGCCCGTGTCTCTGCAGGGAACACAAACCTCCCGGCCTGGCATCACGTTCCCGCTTGGAAATGATTTACTAACCCCCCTCTGGAAGCCCCAGGAGCCCTGTAACCACGGCAGCAGCGAGGGTTTCCTGTTGTAAGCACTGTGTGTTCCGAGCTGCTCCCCGGTGTGACCACCTCGTGTACTCACACGGCTGAGATCAAAGCTCTGCTGTCCCCAAAGTGTCTCACAAAGCACAGGAAACCGTCCCCCCCCTGCAGCTCCCACCCCTCTCTTCCTGTTCTAGCACATGTGTGGGAGAGCAAGAGCACTGTGAGAACCAATTGCTGCCCGTGAGAGGGAGAGGGGGGGAAAAAGTGATGTAAACAACAGCTGCCACGCTGGGAATTAAAGGTCCTGGGTGCACAGGGGCTGGGTGGCAGCACAGCTCCCACAGGCTGCTGGCCCTCACCTGCAGGAGCACCAAAATCCCTGCAAAGGCAGGGAAAGGAGGAGGCAGAGGAAGGGGGAGGTTGGATCGTTCCAGGCCAACGCACCTGCTGGAGCAAAGCAAACCTCTGAATCACCAAAGGTAGGAGGCCAAGGGGTTTTGGGGGCTGCCAGTGTGCTTGAGGGGGGATCTCCTGCCTTCTGGGTTCAGGGATAACAGAGCTGTGGGCAGGGCTGGTGGGGTAGGATTGAGCCAGGGATGTTCAGAGTTCCCTGGAGTGGCTGTGGGGGGCTCTGGGGGTCTGGCTGGGGTGTGTTGTGCCAGGCTGTGGTGCCACCCTGTCCCCTCAGCAGGGAGGGGTTTGTGTGCCAGGACTGGGGGTGCAGGGGCTGCCCAGCGTGGGCTGAGGGGATGGAGAGGTAGGAACACACGATTCCAGACTGGTTTGGGCGGGAAGAGACCTTGAAGTCCATCCAGTGCCACCCCCTGCCCTGGGCAGGGACACCTTCCACCAGCCCAGGTTGCTCCAAGCCCCGTCCAACCTTGGACACTTCCAGGGATGGGGCACCTGTTATTTTTGAGCAGGGGAGATGCTCAGCACAGCAGACGAGCCCACAGAAGGCTGGGGGTGTGACCCTGATGTTTTGAAATCACAGCTTGGAGAGAGGTGGGTGATGAGGTGGGAATTACTGAGCTCAGTATAGGGGGGGAATTTTGCAGCCTGTGTCAGGAATTTTTCAGAGTAAAGCTTGAAGAGGTTTATTCTCATGTCCCGCTGTGCCTGTGGCCTCCCGAGATGTGCCTTGGTTGGAGCAGCTGGTCCCCCCCAAGGAGGCAGGTGCCGGGTCTGTCCCAGCCCTGCTGCCACCAGAGGGCACGTCGTGACCGCGATGTTCTGCTCTCTGAGCCACCTCATTCGGAAGCCAAAATCACCCCCAGAGAATTCATGGAGATCCTCGCCCCCCTCAGCTGCGAGGGTGCCACCAAACACCCACTTGTTCCTGAAAAGCTCCTCTGAGCCCCCCAGATTCCTCGACTGATCAGATCAAGAGGGGGTTTGTGGTGCAGTTTAATAATGACAAACACTCGACAGGCAAAGGGAGGGAATAAACGGCTCCTCTGAGAATGTTTTGGGTTTTTTTTCCCCCTAAGGATGTTGGCTTGTGCCCTGCAGGAATGAAACCTCAGCCACAGAGAGGTTATAGCAACATTGGGGCTGTTGGTTTTTATTATTTTGGTTAGAGTTTTGAGAAAGTTTTTATATTTGGGGAATACTATTTGTTTGTTAGTCCAGAGCAGCAGAGGTGGAGTTGTTGGCAATGTACCTGGGGGGTTGGTCAAGGCTCTCTAAGTAAAAGATTTCTTCTTTTGTTGTTTGGAGGTTTGTTGTTTGTTGTACAGGAGGCTGGTCCAGAAAGGATTTCCCAGCGAGGTGTGGGGATGTGGATAAACTCTCTGGATAGTTCTGAGAGGTCCCACCTGGAATTTAGACTCAATTTCCAGAAAATGCAACAGGGCACAGGGAGGGGAGGAGAGTTTCCAGAATGCAAAACACCTCTCGGGGTGTGAGTTAAGTGTTCCAGGGTGGAATTTTCAGAGTAAAGCTTGGAGAGGTTCAGTCAAACCTCTAAATGACCACAGGGGAGAAGGTGTCTGTGGTGGAGGCTCTTTGATCTCACAGAGACATAACAAGATGCAGGTGCTGGGAGTGCAGAGCAGCACTGTGAGAGCAGGGAATCAGCTGCATCCCTCGCAGGGGAAGGGAATCGAGCTCCTGGAGGGTGCAGTGTGCTCCCAAAATGCCAGGAAAACTGACTGTCTTTGGAGAGTGTTGTTGATCTGCAGATGAACTGGACAGGAGCTCCCAGCCAGCCCCTGACAGACAGTCCCAGCTGGATCCTTCCCAGCTGGTCCTGGCAGTGTCAGTGCTGGAGTCAGACCCCAGAGAGTCCCCAGCTCAGCTCCCCCACCCCGTGTCTCCTTCAGCAAGTCTTGCTCCATAAGGATGAGCCTGTAGGAGCAAGGAGGTCCCAGGAGCTCTGTCTGGCCGGGCTGGGATGTCAGAGCATCCTTCCTGCTCCCATCACCCATCCCTGGGGTGATGGGTGTTTGCTGGGCCTTTTATTTCAACATTCAGCTGATGTGCAAACCGTTCCTTCCACTGCCCCAGCTCATGAGTCAGTGCCATATCTAATCCTGCAGGCATTTCACCCTCACTCCAGGCTGGCCAGAGCCTCTGCTGCAGATCTTGCTCAGCTCCTCCTGCCTCCCCAGTGACTCAGGGGATGTTCTGCTCCCTCCTGTCCCTCTGCCCGAGCTCTGGGGTCCAAAGGTGACGAGGAGGTGGATTAAAGCTGCTTTCGTGCAGCTGGTTTCATGTGAACTTTGTTTTCAGAGGGAATTCTGAGGTGTTGTTTCGCTGAGAGAACAGGCAGAGGAGCCCTCCAGGTTTAGGGGATGCTCCCCAGTGCAGATTCCTACAGAAAACATAAGTGGTCCTCATGTTCCCTCCTCTTCTCAATCGACTGAGCAGGTGCAAACACAATGTGGGGTCACAGCAAACCCAAATTATCCCTGTTTGCTGATCCCTGTGGCCACACTGGGTATATTTTGCCACGAACCCGTTCCCCACCTGAGGTGCCTGCCTGTGTTTAAATGTCGTTTCCAGAGGCTGAGAGGTTGGGGCTGTCAGAGGAGGTGCTGCACACACAGAGGGCACCCTCGGAACGCAGATGGCAGCGAAGCCAGGGCAGGGCCTGCTGCTGCACACAGCTCTGGCTCACACCTTGCCAGGGGAAGCCCCTGTGCCCCCAGAGAGCTTCCCACAGGGACGGGGGATGTGGTGCAAACTTGCTTTGCTGCTGGGAACGGAGCAGAGCCTTGGAGGGCTTGGCTCTGGTTTTGTGCCCAACAGTGCCCTTCCCTTGCTGAGGGTGTCCTTACCCATCTTTGCAATGGGATGGGGGGGAACAGCTGAGGAACCAGCAGTGGTTTGACTGGAAGAGTTGCAGAGTTGGGCAAATGCTTGGAGTTACAGGAGGGGGTAACAGTAACGGGGTTGAGGGGGACAGTTGTCACCTTTTCTTGCCCATTAAATCCGTCATTTTAATCTACCGGTGTTTCTTAGCAGAGCACTTTGAGCAAATGCCTGTATCCATAAATCTGAGCCCAGAGCCTGATGAAAGTCACTTTTTTCTTCCCAGTGGGATCCTGGAAATACAGAAGCAATAGCACTGGATGAAATGCAGGGATTTGTGTGAACTCATTGGACCTTCTCAACAGCTCAAGCTGAGTTTAGAGCTGGGGTTTGGACCGATTCTTGTTTGATCAAATCAGCTCCTTGTTCCCATTTTCAGATGAAATGAAAATTGTTCCTATCAGGGCAAGAAGCTGATAAAAGATTCTTCCTAAGAACAAAGCCTGAGGTTGATTCATCTGTGCTCAAAAAAAAAAAAAAAAAAAGGATCTTCAGGGAAAGGGAAGGTTTCTTGGGGAAAAAAATCCTGAAATAGGCTGTTGGGAGAGTGAGGTTTGTTAAATCATTGAATAACATTAGTTTTCTTTCAAGGAC